GGTGAGCACAGCGCATGCGCAACGCGTGGTTTTGGTTTGTTATTGGCTCATCCCTAATCTAAAATTTACTGTCCCGTATTGCCCCTAGAATGGAAAGCCAAAGCTTAAAATTTCCATTTGATCCAGAAAAAGTGAGCTTGTCACGGCCAAATCCCTTTCATTCATATGATTGATGCTACCCATCCAAATGTGTATTTTTCTCTTATCCAGATATTTCGAATTCTAACCACTCCCGGTTCAAAAGTACATCTCCTCGTAAACTACGGACATTGTGGCTTTTCGGTGACTCGAATGCTGAGAGATTACACGTATCATTGAAGGATGGACCGCTGTGCAACAAAGTTTTCAAAGTTTGTAATTTATTTAAGTAAAAAATGTGGGTGTACCCGTGGCCGAGCATACGGCCAGTAGCCTGGGACGACAAGGATTTTGGACCCCAGCAAATCTTAGATCACATCCGAGGAGTCCTGGAGCGACCTGAGATGAATGAAAACAGCGCAATGATTCTGAATTTAGGTCTGCATTACATGGAAAGCACAAGCTTAGCCAACTATTGGATTCTGCTAAAAGGAGTGATAGATCTTTTAGACGAAGGGAACAAGGGAAATGGTGAATTGAGGTACAAGACTCACGTTATTTGGAAAACCACAACTTCTATGAATAAAGAGAAAGACATTGAAAGTCGACTAAAGAGTGACTGGCAGCGATTTAAGAACCCTAAGGTAGGCAAATACTTAGTTTAATACTTTTTTTTTAATCATCCATTCCCAGGCTTTCTAGCGTGTCCAAGTACTTTGAGATTTTCGTACTTTGAAAATAATGTTGGGTTTGAAAGACTTTTTTTTGCGAAGCAAAACCCAGAAAAATTTTTTTTTGCAATCTTGACCCTGCTAGGAAGGCTTTTGATATACAAGAGGGGAGTTTACTTAGCTCACCCAAATCTCTTTTTCTTTTCAGAGAGTGATACTATACGATACCTTTGCCACTTCACCTTATGTGCCAGGCTAACCTCGAGGTCCTCGATTTTTACCCATTTACCAGGTCCTACCCAGAAGGGACTGGAGGACCCGAGGTGGCACTTTACAAGGAACACGATACCGTTCATTTTAAGTGCATTGCCATGAAGCCAATTGATATCTTTTTGGAAGATTACTTTAGAGGCAAAGTACCGCTTTCGATAAATTTAACAAATTACGAATTTTCTTGATAAATTTTTCTCCAATACGGCAGCAGAAAAATGGAACCACCCGAATCACATCAGGTCACATCATCGTCACATCGGATCACGTCACATCATGTTACATAACGTTACATCACATCACATCATATCACATTGCATCACGTCTTGTCGCCTCATATCATATCGCATCACGTCACGTCGTTAGATTACGTTACATCACATCATATCAGGTTGCATCACGTCATATCACATCATATCATATCGCATCACGTCACTTCGTTAGATCACGTTACATCACATCATATCACATCACGTCAAGTCATACCGCAATAGGCCATGTCACGTTAGATCACGCTACATCACATCACAAATTATCCCATCGCCCATCGCCGGCATAACGAGCCATACCTTAGTGTCATTTCCATGGTATGACGAATTGCATTGACATGTTTTGCTTGGTTCATGGTGTTAGGAGGAGATGATTTCCTTCTACGAATATTAGTTTTGCTTGTGATGATTCCCCTCTATTCGCGAATGAGGCATCTGGACCATTTTTGTTCACCTTTTCATGGGGACTTAAATATATATATATATATATATTTTTTTTTTTTTTAACATTTTTACTCATCCAAACAAACATTTCTCTTTCTTTCAAGAAAAGACATGGATATTTAGCACTTAGATAGAAAATGAGCAGCTTTATGCAACCGCATTTGTCTTAGAGTTTTTAGATCCTTTAAAAGATATTTAAAAGTACTCTTGTCATCAAGATTAAATTACGAATTCGAAAGGTGCTGGTTTATTTCATTAATAATGAAACGCCATAAGTTCCTCTCGGCAATATTTTAAAAATCATATTTTTGAGATGTTGTGAAAGAAACGTCATTTATAAGGCGCTCTGACAACGTTACAATAATGAATTATACAGATATTTAATAAACCTACGGAGCCCCCATCGTGGTTTGAATTTATCGTCAAAGTTATTAATTAATTTTAAGGATGAGAAATACACTTACCTTTTTATAACCGGATTAAAAAGGCTTAGAGTGTCGATCTTTCAGAAGTGAAAGGGCAACAAAACCTTTTCTTTGTGGCGGACAAATTTGCCTTACAAAGCGTCGGCGAACTTCACTTTTTGACAATTGTACTAAAGGATGGATTCTATGAAAAGCCGAGGAGATTTTCCACGGATGTCATCAAAGGTCGTTTGCATCTCAAATGTTTCCTTTCTTGTGGTAATTCAAGTATACTTTCAAACTGGATGTTTCTTGATTGTGCAGATCATGTTTTAAAAAAAAGGCTCTTCTTCGTTAGCCGCAA